AAAACACAGACACATACATACACACACACAAACATATATATATATATATATATATTTTTTTTTTTTTTTTTTTTTATATATATATATATATATATATATATATATATATATATATATATATATATATATATATATATATATATATATAAAGTATAACATGTAACAAGGAAACTAAAATAGTGTTAAAAAAGTTTTTTAAGTTTTAAAATGTTGGGTTGGGTTGCTGTAACCCAATGTTGGGTTTGCCAATATTTGACCCAACGTTGATTTAACCAGCATTAACTATAGTAAACATCAGCTAAAAGAGTAATAATCAGAGTGAGTAATGATAATAATACATACTAAAAATAAACAATCATTCATTCATTCATTCATTTTCTTTTCAGCTTAGTCCCATTCTTAATCTGGAGTAGCCACAGCGGAATTAACCCGCTAACTATTTCAGCATTTTTTTTACACAGCGGACGGCCTTCCAGCTGCAACCCATCACTGGGAAACACCCATACATCCCCATTCATTACAAACAATTTAGCTTATTCAATTCACCTGTACCGCAAGTCTTTTGGGGGGAAACTGGAGCACCCTGAGGAAACCCATGCCAATCCAAGGAGAACATGCAAACTCCACACAGAAACACCAACTGACCCAGCCAAGGCTCGAACCTGCAACCTTCTTCCCACATGCTACCCATATGGACAAACTGAACTATTAAATTTAATTGAAAAAATTAACCCAGTGTTATGTTTGCCAATATTTGACCCAACATGAGTTACAAAAATAACCAGCATTTACTATAGTGAAGATCAAATAATAATAATAATAAATTAATAATAATAATAATAATAAATATTAATAATAACAATAATAATAATATAAACATATTATTAATAATAATAATAATATTAAATGTTAATAATAATAATAATAATAATAATAATAATAATAATAATAATAATAAACACAATATTCATAAAATAATAAAAAATAATACTAAATAATAATAAAAAACAACAAAACAACAATAATAATAATAATGATATAGTGAGTTATTATTATGATCCATCATTTATCATTATTTTGTGAGTGTCTCATATTTTCAGTTTGCATCACTGTTTCTCCTTCATTCCTGTTGATATAAATGAGTGTGGAAGTAAAGCTGACTGTAGTGGACTCTGTCAGTCAGCAGATGTGAAGGGTCAGAGAGCAGACAGAGACACTATTTTAGTGTCTGCATCAAATTACACTCACAAAACGGACTTCAGTGCAAATAAAGAGACTTCTGAAAATAAATAAACATGTCATTATACATATATCATCATTACACACACACACACACACACATATACATATACACACATATACATATATATATATATATATATATATATATATATATATATATATATATATATATATATATATATATATATATATATATATATATATATATATATATATATATATATATATATATATATATATATATATATATATATATATATATATATATATATATATATATATATATATATATATATATATATATATATATATATATATATATATATATATATATATATATATATATATATATATATATATATATATATATATATATATATATATATATATATATATATATATACATATATATATATATATATATATATATATATATATATATATATATATATATAGATATATATATATATATATATATATATATATATATATATATATATATAT